AAAAAAAAAAAAACACAGGAGGGGAGTGGATTCAGAAATTTTAACACTTCAACTTTCTAAGTTTCTAAATATGCAGTTCTGAACTGGGTCTGGAAAAAACTGGAAAACTTTGTGACATGGAAAGGCCCACAGAGTCACAGGCCTCACGACAATATCCTTAACCTCTATGATCAAAGAGTTGCCTAAAGGCAGCATGAACAAAAACATTCAGAATAAGCTCCTGAAAAAACCTACCTTTTGTGAGATTCAATAGTTTACATGCTGCTGAAAGGCAGCATCTACTTCCACTTGAAGTTTGCAAGGCCAGACTTGAAAGAATTTCAAGTTTTGTTGTGGCTTTTAAAAAATCCGTGGCTGTGCCCTGTTGTGCTCAGGAGAGCGCTAAGCTGGAAAAAGGGGGCCAAAGTCAAGTCCCTAGCTTATCTGAAGCAGTAATAGCAAAAACTGTCTTTTGTCACATTTCTCAAGAACAAACTATTTTCACAACTAACCTAGGCCTTTCTTTTGCCCCTTCCATCAAAGCCCTACCTCTCTACAGCGAGGAACTGCTGATTTACGGGGCTGGAGAAAAGCAGAACTTAGCCCTAATGATGCAGAGCATGTTCAAGGTCAGAGGGGATGGCGAGGCAGAAACTGCTTCAAACAGCTGAAACCTCTGTGTCCTCCACTCTATATTGTTGTTCTACTGGGCTAGATTTTTAAACCTGATAACAACACAGTAGGATCGTGCATTAAGAAATTACCTCCAAAATGTACAAGCATTTTCATAAAATATCTAATTGTTTTGCCAGCTGGTGCATAATGTGAGCTGACTTGTAGGATGCTGATGCCCCATGTATATGTTTCCCAGAGATGTTCAGTGTGTTAAAGCAGGTTCAGTTCTTTGCTGCTTTCACAGGCTTAGCTTGTTTAGGATGGCTTCATTTGCATTTAGCTGAAGAAAAATTAGGATAAGGAAAAATTTTAATGTGGCATATCTACTAAAGATAATAATTCTCCTAATTCCCCAATGCTGTCCATTGTCTTAAGGGAAAGTTGGGGAAGAAAGAAGGAAATTCCTTAGTAGAATGAACAGCAAGAGAACCTAGCCTGTCTGCTGATAAAAACATTAATATTAATGAATTTAAGGGATTGGCACAATCAGGTTGTTTATCTGATGAAAATATGAAGAACAGAATCATGACAATTTCAAGGAAAAGAAGACATATTTGAAAAGGAATGAAAAGAAGATATGAAATGAACAAAGCATATGTTTATGCTTTCTTAAAAACAGCTTCAGGCCTTTTGTTAGTATCCCATGATAATACCAAGCATGAAACAGAACAAAGTTTCTACATTTTAAATTTCCTTTAAAAGTGTAACTAAAAGTATATGGAAATGCAGTGAGCACTGCTTGGGAGAAAAAATATCCAAAGTTCTGTTCTACCAGAACTGCTTGTAACATAATAAGCAGAAAGTTTGGTGGATTAAATGTAGATCTTCCCCACACAGGGAACAGGCAATGTGAACTTAGGTCCTTTTCATAAAGTTCTAGCTTTCTAAATATATACAGCTTTATCTAGGAGAACCACATGTAAGGTAATGATCCATTCACAGGGTTTAACAAATGGGTACTTCAGAACAAATGAACATTTGTGTTGTGGGGGCTGGTTTTTTGTGTTGAAAGCCCACAAAATTTTAATCACAGAAAAATTATGCATTTTGATGTACTGGCCCAAACTAAAACAATTAATACATACCCTAACAGCATGTCATACTGCAGAGTTAATTTTATTTTGCATATCTATATCTAAGATAAAAATTGTTTGTAAGTAACTACACACTGAAATTATCCAACAGATAATGAACAGAATGTTGGAATATCAGCTCATATGAAAATCAGATTATGTTATCTGAAAATACTTTAGTAAAATCATTCATGAATTCATGGCATGTTTTTCTGCCTTAGCACAGACCAACTATTTTTAAAATACAGAGGTATTTGTTTCTCTGCTCACTATAACTAAGATTTTGGTAAATTTTAAAAAAGGAATGTTTTTCTCTTTTCCTTAATTGGACATTTCTTCTCTAGGCAATATTCTCAAGTTTTATGTTTATACTAAGTAAAAAATTCTAAAGTGACATCATAAATGTCTCATGTGCTTTGCAGACTTGTAAAGTCACAAAATGGAAAGTAATGTCCCTGTCCAAGAGTACTGGCTGAACAACAGGAATTTCCTTCAGGCATTCTGACTTTTTGCAGCAAAATAAAAACAACAAACTGGGGCAAGCTGGCAGCTCAGCAGCCCATTCACACTCCGTGGGGACTCAGCTGGCAATGAGCAGGAAAAGGTGGCCCAGGACCTGTCCCTTGTGTCAGCCAACATAAGTTGAGCTGCTGAGGAGGTGATAAAGTTGCCAAGGTGGCACTGCCCTGGAAGTGCACTGACTGCAGCTGCCACAGGGAATGTCAGTCAGGAAGGGTAAGGTGGTGGTAGGAGGGCTGGCACATGGAGGCCTCTCATTTATCTCTCAGAGATTAATGATGTCTTTGCTACAATCTCACACAGGTCTTTAAGCAGCCAACTTCTCTTGGGTTTATTATGCAGAGTACAAGGACTGCATTGAACTCAGAGAGCTGCCTTTGGAGATGCACTCCCTCTGTTCTCAGTGGAAGATGTGTTGATCTCAGAGGAATCTCAGGGATCTCAGGATCCCTCTGTGACAGAGGAAATGTCACAGAGGGAACCTGCTTCTCCAAGCAGTAACTTAGAATTTTATGATTTGAGTAAATATTCACACTACCTCTTTATATAAAAAACACATAAATGCTAGTCTCTGTAAGTACTGATTAAGCTTTGAAGAACTATGAGAGCTTTAATTGTGTATTTTGTGTGTGGAGATGTATTATTACAGCACTTAACAACAGCTCCAAGCCATGGCAGTGTTCAGTGATTTCTCTGACATGCCAGTGCAGCAGTCTCCATGCTGCCCACTGAACAGAGGGACCACTTCTGGAGTAAAGTTCTGCCAGGGCTTAGCCATGAGATCAGAAACTCTTCCTGCTCTTCCACCCAATGAAAAATGTTTGGATAGATGTTCATTTATGGTGTCTGCTTTCACCAAACCTCATGACATTCATAACAGGTGAACACATTTACAATATCATTACAACAATACATTTTGAAACAATCACTTTTGCTGCTTAGTATTGTACCAAGGAACTAAGAAATACTGGCCCAGGAGTACATAGAAATACTGGGTACCAGGAGCGGAGCCTTTCAGTTTTCTTTGTTGTTGTTTCCTATCATTGCTACTATTTCATACAAATGGAAATGCAACTGCATCAGCAAGATTATGAAATCTTTAGAAATAATAATGTTTAAATACTTGGTAATACTTTAAATTTAAATAATTAAGACTTAAAAAACACAAAAAACTAACTGTGGGCATATTGGTTTTGTTCCCTGGGTAATTGTTGAAGTGATATCTGCTCATGTAATGGAAACTTATCAGAATGCACAATCTTGTGCAGCAGCAGCTCCAGACTGGAACAATTTTTAGCCTGACTTGGCACTATTATACTATGAGCTGTTACTCCATAGTAACGCAGCAGGACCTGGAACAAAACCTGCTGTTTGACCTGGCATTTCTGTCCCTGCTGTGCATGGATTGTGCCATGGGGACATGCAGGTCTTGCTCCTTTAAGTGTATAGCCCAAGTGTGGATTTCTACAAGAAGCCAAGAGAAAGCTCAGCACACTTTTGCAGCTTGCTGGAGCCAATGGTTCAGAAGATCTGTTTTTTTGGCAATTTATTCAAAATGCATTTCCAAACCCTTAGTTTCATTGCAGGCACTGAAATGTTAAGGATGCCATTCAAACACACCTCATAGAACAGTGCCTATAAAATTATCTACTTTTTCCACATCTGTATAATGTTTAACGTCAGTGAGTTAAACCACAATTACATTTTTATAATAATTTTAATAAAGCATTATTCATGGGTGTGCTTCTATGATGGTCTCAGCAAGGGAAGCCAAGGGCTGCTATTAAAAATGTAAAGCATGGTGACTGTGCTTTAATACACAATGCTTCAAGCTTCCCATGAAAATTTAATAATTTTTGATGTTTCAAAGAAACATCTGACTTAACAAGTGCTTGTGCCATTACTCACTTGTATTTAAGTGTGTGACATTGTTGTCATCTCTTCTTCCGTTTCCACCCTCTGGAGAACATAGCAGAGAACAGGAAAATTCTCCAAAACTGTTGTCTAGTCCCTACAGGCTGAGGAAAAAACAAACACACACTTTAAGACATGAAGTCATGCAAGAAAAGTTGTCCTTCTATCTCTTGCTGCCTCAGTCATCACACAGCAGCCCAAGATCAGAAGCAAATGAGAGACAGAGCCTGAACCAGGCCACAAGTGTGACTTAACAAAGCGGGTTTGAGTTCAGAAGTAGGTAAACTCCTCAGACCTAAATAACCTATAAAAAGTCTCAACAACCCAGAAAATGATCAGGGAACCAAGAAGCAGGTAATAGGATTGCTCTGTACATTCTGACAGTAGCCTTTTCTTACAGGATATAAGAAATGAGCTTTTCTAGCAGATGGAGAGAAAGAAGGAGCACAGTACATTCTCTTGTTAAGGAACCTTCTCCCAGAAAA